AAATATACACACTTTTTCATGTTTTGATATTTAAAGAACTTTTTCTTTTAAGACTTCATTCCAAATCTCCAAAATTAATAGATTAAGCATACCTAAACTCACTGCATTCAGTGATTTAAGGGAGATTACTTAGTGAGCTAGACAGATCCTGGAAGTGAATCCAAGTTCTCCCATTTACATAGTGATAGCCTTGTATAAATCGCCTACCTTTTCTGAAATTGTTTTCTCATCTATAAAAAAGGAAATAATGGTTCCTAACTTGCAAGTGTGTTGTAGAATTAGAAGAGAAAATGCCTAGAAATAGTAGACACTTGAATGTAAATTTTCTATTTGTTTTAAAGTATTTTTAATTGTATGATACGTAAAATAATATCTTATGGTACTTGGAACTATGTGATAGTTCAGTCAGTGTTTTTATGATTTTGACCTTTTTGCCCTGATACTATGGGGTTCTCTCAAAGATAATTACTTGCAGAATTGTAAGAGTTAAGTACAATAAATAGAGAAAGGAAATAGTTCTTTCTTTATCCCCAACCCATATTGAGTATTACATGGACTGAGTAGTTTATATACTTTGAATTATATTTTTTAGATAAATGACTAGCTTTTCTTATGAAAGTCTTTGTCATTGTTTCATTTAAATGCATTTAAATTTGTGGTGCTGGTATTTATTTTTTAAAATTATGTGGGTGGAAGATGTATTAAGCACTCTTGAAAAGATTACTTTGTCAAGTTCAGGAATCATTGGATCTTGTGATTTTGAAAATAAATTCATTTGTTTTAAAATTTAACTGTCATTACTTTTAACTGTGGGAGTAAAGCTGACTGCTTTCTTTCCTTAATCTATACCATTATAGTTCAGTTTTATATTATTTAGGAAATAATTACATTATAGCATAATTTAATTAAAACATTTTTTTATTACAGGCATGTTACATGGAATTGGAAAATTTATAGTTGAAATAATTTGCTGTCGTTTCAGACTTGGATCCTATAAACCCGTCAATTCTGTAAGTGGTATAGTATAAATGGTACTGATCTCTAGCTCGTAGTACTATTGTTAAATCTAAACAGTATCTTTTGGTGCCCAGAAAAAAATTGTCCCCAATAAAGCCTTGTGTTTAGAGGAACTAGTGTAATGAGTAAAACTGATTCTCTGGTCTTTTTCTCCCTAGGTTCCCTTTGAGGATGGCCACACAGACAACCACTTACCTCTTTTAGAAAATAGTACACATTAGCACCTCCTAGGTGAAGGAGAAAAACTTTTTGCCTGAGACATCAAACCTTTTTTAATAATAAAATATTGTGCAATATATTCAAAAGAAAAAAAAAAACATGAATGAAAAGCAGGAATCATACCTAGAAAAAAAAGAAAAAACCCAAACTGAAATCCTATATATGTTGTGTCTGTTACAAATGTCTTAGAAGAAATTATGCAGCTAATCAGTGAATAAGTCCAACTGGAATATTGCTTCGAAGATGACCCCTTCTGATATTTTCACAGCAAATGGGCAGTGTCGAAATCGGACCTTGAAGAGGCTGAAGGAAAGAGGTCAAACCACATCTAAAGAAAAAGGCATTAATAGTGCTAATGTCTGCGTCCTTTTGTTTTTAAAATATGATGTCAGAATAAAATATGGAAAACTAGTCTAAACTTTAAAAAGTTGTGATCAGGTCACCTTGTTAATAAAGGTAAACAGGGATGGGTTCACATGCCATAGCCATATTAATGTTAAGCCATAATGACAAGACCATTTATCCCATAGTTTGGTCTTTTGAAGGTAACTGCTTTTCTTTAACCTCTGGCTATTGACTTTTTTAACTATTCAAGGCAGGTGAATTCAAAGACCAAGGTGAATTCTTACAGGGGCAGTACATAGGTGCTATAATATGTAACTGGAATCATTCACAAATTGGATGGTGGGCACTTATACAGGGAAAAGAAAGCACATGTTTTTAAAAGATGCTAAATTTTCTAATCTGATCATATTGTTGGTATACTGTGGGAGCAGGGGGTGAGTAATAAAAAGATACACTACTGATAATGAAAATTATCAGTTTGTAAAATATTAAGAAAAGTAGAATATTTTATACATGTTGTGGTGAGTAGGCGACAGGGTAACTTTAAATAAAATAAAAGTGTGAGGCAGCTATTTAAGTAAAACAAGATGTCATATCTGAGAGGTTATCATTAAATGATTTCCGTTAAACTATTAAACTGGATGAAAGAGGTATTTGCATTCAGAATGTTCTGAATGTGGTTGATTCTGTATTAGATTGTGTTGTTCTGTCTTTCTTACTATTTAAGACTTGATTTAAAATTTTCAGACTATAAAAGATTAAAAATGAGAGGGAGATATCATTCAGGTACCATTAAAAACATATTTGGAATATGTGTGCCAACATAAGTTTCCTTTTGTAATACTTAATGTTAGTAGAAGAATCTTCAACCAATCCCCATGGTGTAAATCACTTAGGGAAATAGGGAAACAAAAGTTCCAGGTAAGTACCAAGGCCAAGGCTAAAAAGCTAGATTTAAAATCATGGTTTTTAGAGGACAGGCTGTCACAAGTTGTAGTTTTTCAAATGGATTTTTTTAAAAAGTAAAATGGTTTCTTGAAAACACTTTGGACAGTAATGTAATGGAGAGGAGAAATACTGAAAAAACTTTGCAGTAAAGCTTATGTTGAATGGTATATTGCAGAAAATAACAAGCATCAATGTTTAAAATGTAGTTTATCATTAAAAGCCACAAAGTTAACTGATTAATACAGGTGACATAACAGGCTTTGAAACATATTTGAATCCAGAAAATTCCAAAAAATGAATATGGTTTTTATTTCTTCAGATATTTCCAATGAAAGACTAGAAACTAATAGAGCATCTCTCAAAAGGAATTTTAACTGGAGAGAATTAGAATTTTAGCTATTTTTATTAGACTGTTGGTTCTGTGAGTCTGCTTGTCAGAGAATTCCATCAAATTTCAGGGGTTTTGTTTTTTAATGGGAGGAAAGACAATAACCATTTAGAATTATTTTCTTTCTTGTAGGATTATAGCAGTTAACTATCTCTTAAAATTTTTAAATCTTCATTGTTGAAAGTATTACACATGTTCCCTTTTCCCCCCAATAACCCCTTCTAGCCTGCCCCCCTGCCCCAGGCCTTCACCACCCTATTGTCTGTGACCATGGGTTATACATCTATATATGCATGTAAGTTTTTGGTTGATCACTTCCCACCCATCCACCTTCCCCTGCCTTCCCTCTGAGGTTCTGCAGTCTGTTCTATGCTTCTATGTACCTGGATCTATTTGTTCATCAGTTTATTTTGTTCATTAGATTCCACATAATTGTGATATTTGTATTTCTCTGACTGGCTTATTTTGCTTAGTATAATACTTTCCAGGTCCCTCCATGCCATCTCAAAGGGTAAGTGATCTTCCTTTTTACTGCTGCATAGTATTTCATGTTATAAATGTACCACAGCTTTTTTATCCTCTCATCTACTGATGGGCACTTGGGCTGTTTCCTGATCTTAGCTATTGTAAATTGTGCTGCTATGAACATAGGGGTGCATATATACTTTAAGAAGAATTTTAAAAATTATTTAGGTACTTATATGATTTTTAATTGTTTTCATGTTTTTCAAATACCATATTGAAATGTTAATGGAATTATTTTTTCCCATTAAAACTATGAAAGGAATTTCTTCAAAGCAAAATCTTGCTTTGCTATTGATTTTCATTTTAAAAATTAAGAAAGATTTCCAGCTGAAATTCCTTGAATAGCAAGATCAAATTTTTTGGCAATCAAAACATAAGATTCTTGTCAGCCCTTTGGATGATGGATGATGAAGTATACCTGTATATTAAGATTTGTTAGGTGTTCTGATCTCACCAAGTGTTGCTTTGAACACTGTATGTAGTGACCTATTCGGCTTATGCCTGGGGATGCCTTCAGTAGGATACCTAACTTTATTAACTCAATCCTTTTTATTAGGCTGTTCATAATATCTACACATATATTTCAGTCTAAATATTTTGAAGTTGAGACCTTGAATTATATGAAATGTTTTTTTTTAATTATTTGCATACCTTGGCCTATAAGAAGAGATGAAATATTTAGGTGAATAATTCTCTGCTACAGTATTTGTACACTTCAGACTACCTCTTGGAAAAGCTTAACTCAGAATTACAAAATTCTATTTTCAACTCAGATAATTTGATATGCTTTTCTCATGCATTTTATGATACAAAGCACTGAATTTTTAAAAAAAATTTATGAATGCAAACAAAATTTACAATCTTTAATACAAACTTAATTCATAAAGGACTGACTAAGATGTCTTAATTTTTTAATGGTGTAAGGGGAGGGCTAAATTACATACATTCTGTTTTCATGTCTGAGGTTAGTAATTCAAGTACTAACTTATATATGTAAAGTAATCTAGCACTGAGCATTTTTCCATACTTCTGTGTGGGCATATGGAGCAACCATTACATTTTAGGATAGGTAGTTGCTTATGTTTCCAGAACATTAGATTTGCAGTTCTAGAAAAATAGCCACGTGGAAATTTACATGTGACTCCTGTGAACTTTGCAGATTATTTATGTTTTTGGAAATTTTAGGCTGACCTACATTAACTATTAAGTTTATTGTGAGAGAACACATTATTTGGGTGTTAGTCCCTTGCATCAGTCTATTTACCTTGAGATTCTAAATCAGTTATTTTAAAGTGATAAGTGGAGATAATGATGTTAGGTTAGTATAAAATTGTGAGAAACGTTTTTTCTGAGTTCTGTGTCCATCTGTCCTAACTTTCTCTAATATTAATTGCCTTAGGTGGTGACTGTCTTCAACTCAGTAGTATTTATTACTGTATCGGGTATTTAGTGAGTGCAGAATATAGGGGTTACCAAAACTTTTCAAATATAAATACATTTTCTCTCTACTTACCATCCCCTTCCCCCCAAAAGTAGGTTTTTTTTGTTCTGAGTTCTGTGTCCATCTGTCCTAACTTTCTCTAATATTAATTGCCTTAGGTGGTGACTGTCTTCAACTCAGTAGTATTTATTACTGTATCGGGTATTTAGTGAGTGCAGAATATAGGGGTTACCAAAACTTTTCAAATATAAATACATTTTCTCTCTACTTACCATCCCCTTCCCCCCAAAAGTAGGAGGTTTTTTTCCCCTCATTGCACTGTATATATTAGGCACTCAAATAATTGTTAGTCTTGATTTAAAATCACTTCTTTCATACAGATACCTATCTGCTTTCACTGCTTACAAGAGAACTATGTCATGTCTCTAATACGACAGGTAGAAAACACTGCAGCATATAAATGCTACCCTATTAATGGTCAGAAAAAGTGGAGCATTATGTACTTATATGTTAATTTGTATTAAACTGGTAGGTTCTTGGGATGATTACATTTTTTCTCAGGGAGGGTTAAAGACACAATACTGAAAAAGAAAAACAATTTTAATTCAAATTTCCATGTAATCAAAAGTCAAAATGAATACTTGATCAGTGGAATTTATTGAATTAGTAAAACAATCAAAAGATAGTAAATTCTTAGAACTATTATGTTTTATCCAGTCTCATTGAATTATAGATATTTCATTTTTACTGTATCTGTAGTTATCAGTGTAACTCAAAAATATTGTATAGACATCTTAAGCTAAAGATCACCAGCTGTTTTTTTTCAGAGCTGGGTTGTGTGCCCTGGAAAGTAATTCCCAGAACTTAGATGAGATTGGGGTGGATATTGTCCAGAAGAGTTACCCCAAAATGCCTTTTATGGGTTCAGAAAAATCTCAAGTAATCCTAGAAGCTTCCCTCAGTTACTTCATGTGCCATTTTGAGTACCAATTATTACAGCTAGTAAGCATAAACATGTTAACATTCTATGTTCATGTAATTATCTAGTAGTTGTGATTATTTTTAATTGGGCCCCAATTATTAAACTTGAATAATAACCCATGTTTTTAGCATGAGATAACTGCAATCAGTATGCACTGATCTCTCAAATCAGATGAAAGTTAGGGTAATAGTTATATAGAAATTTAGGAATAAATAGTTTTTAGTAATTCATTTTTATTATACATAAAATATTTTTAAACAAAACACCTATTCTCTAAATGTAGTCACTTAATGAAGTCTGTCCTTTTCTGCTGTACATTGTACAATTAGCAATGTGCAATTGGAATGATCAAGACACTAGACACTCTAATGATCTGGTGCTCACTAGAGTAATCTTCCCCACTTTATAGAAAAAGACTGAGACTAGCATTTAAATTTGTGTTTAAAGTTTTGTTTTTCCTCAATGCAAAGATCAAGAGACTGGGTTTTTATGATTCCAGCCTAGGAGCTTCCTCTCCATTTCATCACTCCTATTGAGGCCTGAGTAAAATAAGCTTAAAGTAGAAGGTTACAGCATCTGTGAGGATGTTGAAACCATTCTTCCACTTAGATTGATTTTAAACCTTTATACTGGGTACCCCAGACTAGTCTCAAGGCTAGAACTGCCTTTCTTGAGCATATTTCCACTTCTGGGTGTTCTGTGTTTATTGAGTTGCAGTTAGTCCTCTCAATGAGAAGAACGCTAAATATGAAAAGAGGGTTGTACTTTGGTGTTTTATATTCAAGGACATAGAGTGTTAGGAAGCAATCTGGAAATTATTTTTTCCTAAAATATGCTTGGCTATGACTTTCCTTCTCTCACATTAAAAAAAAAAAGATAGAGAAATAGGAAATAGGGCTAAATACATGACAGGACATTTGACAGGTGATGAGGTTGGGCATAGTCTGCCACTTCGTAGTTTTGAGGACCACAGTTTGCTGTTATAGAGGTATCTGAGAGGTACCAGATAAATGAAGACTGCCAACTGTTCTTAGACCTTGAGCGTGCTGGGCGCCCTAAAGTAGGAGAGAAACTTATAACAGAAGCTCACGATGAAGAACCAGACGTTCCGAGCCATCTGAGATCTTGCCATAAGAAGGCGCCAGGCGATGAGGAAGAGGGCAGTATTAAAGAGGTAGTGAATATTTCGGAGCCTGGGGAATGGACATATATAGTAAAAGTTAAAACAGTGCCAAATACCCAACTATTATCTGAAACATAAATGTGTTTCTCTCTGGCTATCACAAGCAAATAATTAAATGCTTACAGGTATGACCTGATAAGCCTTTGAGTTTTATCTTTCATTTCTACAACATTCTCAATAATCAGATTTCCATAACATTACCTTGACTAGTTTCTATTTATCATACTTCTCTCTACTGTAACCTATCTTGCAAACATGGCTAACAGTCTTTCTTAAAGGTACTTTGATCATATTACCATTTCACAAATTTTTACTGGTTCCTGTTCACTAGAGGGTAAGTCCTAAAGTTCTCAACCTACTGTTCAAGGTTCCACTCTGTTTTCAGTTTACTTTTTCATCCTTACCATCTCTATTAACCCTTTGCTTCTGCCAGAATTATACCAGACTGTTGTGAGTCTTTGTCCTTGAAGGGATTAATGACAAATTTAAGGCAGCTGAAGGACTTGAAGAGTGGTTATGCCCATGTTACATAGTCTGATCAGTCTCCTGCCTACTGGGTATTCTTTCTCTATATCACATGGTAGGGTGTGGTAGAAGAATCAAAGACACGGGTTCAAATTTGGTTCATGTGTGACTATGAACAAATTACCATTGTTCTTGATAAAAATGGGATAACAGAAAGAATGCCTCATAGGGGTGTGGTGAAGGTAAATGAAACAGTGTATCACAGGGCATAGTATAAAGGAAAGGACCTATTATTTAGTAAAAGCTGAAAAAATGTTAATTCCTCCTTTCCTTGGCTCAGATTTCATGTCTGGTGTAAAATCAGATACACAAATACTAACTGACTGACTATGCTTACCTTTTTAAGTGTTGCTTTGCTTCTGGGACCCCAGCCATATCCTCTTTCAATAAGTACTTCTTGACTCCTAAAACGTAATTTTCAATGTATTCCAACCAGTTCAACTGGCGTACATCAAAGTTGAATACCTGAAAGGCAAAAAGATAAAAGGATTGCCAGAATTGCACGGCTGGACAATCACTTTGTTCACTTAATTTTCTTTTACATAAATGAGTAACAGTCAGTTTAGAAGACTTAGCTGGATCCCTCCAAATAAGATTATTTGAGCTGCTATTTCGAAGGCCCTGATAATATAGATTACCATTTCCTTGCAATATTTAAACATGGATCAAGCACAAATACTTTATCTTCAGGAAGTCTTGTGAGGGAAATTTAAGGAACTGTTATTAGTCTGGTGAAAGCTAATTTCATTTCATGTAAAGATGGATTAATTTTTAAAAGTGATGGAATATGTTAGGGACCAAAACAAATTATGCATCATTTTCTTACCATTTCTCTTAAATGTTGATGGTGTCTCTCGGCCTACCTCCTTTTCCTACAATATCAGCACTTCCTTATGCAGATTAAAGCAAACTTTGGAAAGCAAAGCCTTAAGGAGTAGCTTAGCAGAATTTATATTTTGTATTTGCTTTAGAGATATCCATTATGTCTCTCAGTGTGCCATTAAATGAAGCCATTCAAAACAGTTCTTTTAGTGTTAAGTGGTAAGGAAAGCTTTGCTTCTCTTGAAACATTGGTATGTTTTCTCCTGGACAAAGAATGGCATGAAACTATTTTCCCTTTTCCTTTTCCATCAAAAAGCTCACCAAAAAAATTCACTGCTTCAACAGGAATGACTTAGGTAGGATCTTGTATACTATAGATGGACATTATATTTTTTCATTTTTATCCTTGACTTCATATTCTAATTCAATTTATTTCTATTTTGTTTACATGTGTGTTTATTGTAAGATATGTCAAATCTTTGAGATGATTTTGAGTATTATCAAAGAGAGCAGATGAGATTAACAAGTTACAAAGAGCTTCATAGATTTGTCCAAAGCTGAGTTGCTTTCCAAAAGTAATTCTGTATCATTTTGTTTGGATATGTTTGTTTTCCACACTATCACTATTACATACTCATGGATATAAACAGCGGCCTTTTCTTTTATTCTACTTCACTTTTCTAAGGGAGATTTCAGTGAAGCCCTGGTTAGGAAACCTGATTCTGTAGGGCAAATCAAACTGGAAGCCGAGCCATCCCAGAGTTTGGCAATTAAATCCAAGTATTCAGGACTATTATCTTTGCTAAGGTATTTTGAAATTGTATGTTAAATCCACTACAGATTTGATTTTTTTCATGACATTTTAAGTGATTTTAGTTTAAAATAGTAAAATGTCAAAAATGAAACTCTAAGCTCATTACCTTTTGAATTATTTAGATAGTTAAATTCTGTGGAGAAATGCAATAAAGATAAGCCTACATAAAATTTGAAGCTAATTTTTAAAATAATGTACAATAGCTTGAGGTTTTTTTTTAAATAAGCTGGTTTGATCAATCAGCCATGCATTTCAAACAGGTGTTTAGAAGAATTTTGTACAAGGTACGTAAACATTTCTGAAAATAGGTCTACTTCATGTTAATTATAGAGGTACTCAGTGATGATTTCAATTAAAATATCCTTCTAGATCTCATCTGGTTTATCAGCCTAACATTTATAGTGTTAGATTGTGCAAGTAACCGTTTGGTTCCGTGGCATATCTAGGATTGGATTTGAATCATGCTCTATGAGGCTGGTATGTTAGGAGTAAAATCCTTAGCCTCAAAGGTAGGCTAGCTACCCACTTAATGTTTACTTCTCAATATGACTTGGTTTCTTGTACATGCTGTCAAGAATGAGTTAAATCAAGAAATTTTTTTTTCTTGAAAAAGAAATTTCAGTGGAAAAGTGTCAATCAAGAGAGTGAAAATTTTAAAGTTAAATTGCAAACTAATGACATGATCAGGGAACTCTTGACTCCTTGAGAAGGAAAGCTAGGAGCATGTACAAAGCACAAAATATGTCTATATTTGTGAATTTCAGAATATGCAAAGATTTCAGGGCTTATTGTTTGTTACCAAAGCTAATATAAAGAAATAAATGGCGCTGATGCTAAGCAATTAAAGTGAAGGCATGTTTTGAGAAATACAAGTCTGAGTTGATTAAATCATTTTAGGGAGGAAGATTGACAATGCTGGGGAGAGGGCTATACTGATGGAGGGAGGTCTTTTATGGGATAGAATAAATAGGAGTTGAGTTTAGCTTTAAAAAGATAAACTATTTTAGAGATGCCAAATGATTTTGATTTGATAAGAACAGTGGAGGAGAGAGTGTACAAGTAGAAAATTAGAAATTTTTATCAAAGTCATATGCTATGGCTATTAGGGGAAAGATAGAGGTACACAGGGTTTGTTGAGAACGCAACAACTGGGAGAGTGAACAAAGAATTAAAGCTAACTATATGAAGACCCCAGAACAGTAGTGAGGATCTAACAGAAGACCAAGACCCTTGATTTCTTACCTACATTAAGCTTGTTTCCTGCAACTGTGTTGATAGCATTGACTGATTTTCTTAGAGAAAAAAAATTCTGTATATAGCCCAGCTGGTGTGGCTCAGTGGTTGAGTATTGATCTATGAACCACAAGATCACCATTCAATTCCCAGTCAGGGCACATGCCTGGGTTTGCTTGATCCCGTCAGGGCACATGCCTGGGTTTTGGGCTTGATCCCCATTAGGGGGCATACAGGAGGCAGCCAATCAATGATTCTTTCTCATCATTGATGTTTTATTTTTCCCTCTCCCCTCCTCTCTGAAATCAATAAAAATATGTATATTTTTAAATTCTGTGTATATAACTAGAACTTTATTCATCAACTTTTCAGGTCAAATACTTCCAAATTCCAAGTGAGTAAGATTTTCCTATTGGCTAAGTCAGTGCTGTACTTACTCTCTGGTCTTCAGGACTCAGCTTTGACATCAGCATTTCTGTGTTACTTGTGCTCCATTCCCAGCTCCGGTTGACGAAATACTCCAGCATGGAAACAGTTCTTAAAAGCCGATTCATGAGCTTTGTCATCCTGAGTTAAAGATCAGATAGGAGCCAGTATCATCAGCATAGCACAGATGGCTGCTTCCCTGTTACTCAAGGAATGCATGAGAAATTGTCTTTGAGAAAGATAAAATTATCCCTCCACCAATCTTCATCTCCACTAATTCTCATAGCATCCCAGTTAGGTAGGTATAAATCTGCACTTGTATGAATGCAGTGAAGTGAATTTAAGATAAAGTGGCCACAATAATAGGTGTGGAAGCCAAAATTCCAACCAGCTTTGACCTCAAGAAGCCTCTGCTTCTGTAATCTCGCCATCCTGCATCCCATTGCTTAAAAGTGGACCATGTCTTCCAATCCTGTGGTCAGGACTTGGACCAGCTCGGCTTTGTGAACTTGCCAACTTAACAACTTACAAAAACTTCCATATACAGTCTAATTGCTCTTCACAGTATTACTCTGAAGTAGTCAAGATCTGTATTATCTTCATTTTACAGAAGGATTATTAATAGGTTTGTGGTTACATGGCTAATGCTTAAACCTAGGACTTATGGGTACAAGTCACCTTTGGCCTATAGAACAATTGATTTTTACCTTAATCAGGCAAATTGTGATAGTAGTAACTCAGCAATGACTTACTATGCTGTTTTGGGAATTTGGTTTTATTTATGGTCAATCTTAATGCCCACATACTTAATGACTCCTGAGGTACTCTCATTGTATCATGGGAAATTCTTAGGCAGGAGGTAAAATAATGCATCAGAACAGGGTTCTATTTAGCTGTTATTATCTAACATCTTTGCTGCAGACTAAATATTTGTGTCCCCCTGAAATTCATATCTTGAAACTTACATCCCCATAGCGTGATGGTCTTTAAAGGAGGAGACTGGGAGTTGATTAGTGCCCTTATAAAAGCTCATTCGCAGCATTGGAGGGCACAGAAAGATGACTGTCTAGGAACCAGGTAGCAGGTACTCAACATACCTAGTCTACCAGCATCTGGATTTTAGATGTCCCAGTCTCCAGAACTGTGGGAAATAATCTATGTTGTTTATAAGCCCTCTATTCTGTTATAGCAGCCCAAATGAAATAAGACATTCTTCATGCATCTATAACTCTGATGTAACTGATGTAATTTCAGTAGATTTGTTTTAATTCTTAATCATCGTGCAATGATATTATATGTACAGGACTTTATCAGCACAATAGTATTTTTTTTATAAAGAAAAAATACAGTTCTTATTCTCAGGTCTTCTTAATACATAAAATGCAAAAGCCAAAACGTGATTCATTTTATCACATAAAAATTTAGAACTTTTTTTAGTAATAATAGTGTTACTGTATTCTACACGCTCTTATTCAAAACCATATAAAATAGCTATTACTATCTTTTTTTTTCTTTTTTTTTTTTTTTTACAGGTGAGAAAGTTAGGCTTCAGGCAGGTTAAGTAATTTAGGGCTCATGTGGCTAAACTGGTGAAGTCAGACTCCAAACTTATTTGTAGCTCCCCTTGTATTATAAAAATTTCATTTTCAAAGCTATAAGGAATAGACTTAGAGGAAATACATCAAATATAGTTGTGTACACACACACACACACACACACACACACACACACACGAGTTTCCAGAAATTATTAAGGCCAACCCAATAGAAAAATAGATGAGAAATAGCAACTCAGAGTAGAGAAAATTTGAATGTCTAATAATGTCTAATGAACAACTGATGGAGGAGAAAACTTGAATGTCTAATGAACAAAACTTGAATATTTGATTAACACAAGGGAGTGCTAAGGACTTGGGGCTCAAATAAAAGTAACAAAGAGATGCCATTTGTTGTTTTTATTTTGACAATTGCAAATGGACAGAACCTTTGTTGAGGGCAACCAAATATGCTCCAATCCAGCAAAACCACCCCTCAGCATCTTCGCCAAACCAGTGGCACATTCTATAAAAAAACTCATGTGCGCTGGTATTTGTTTACCTCAAAGCAAACCTATATGTATTTCCATATGTGGTTGTAAATGCATAGATCAAATACACGAGGTGAGGGAAGGTTCTAGAAGGACTCTAGCATTTTCTGCCATAAAGATTATTATTAAAATGTCTATCAAAAACAAACTTACCAATTTTCCACAAATATTACAATTTAATTTCTCAAGAACAAAATTCATAAAGATTTGTATTGGGTCCCTTCTTTGTCTTTTCTACTTACTAAACTTTGCTCTTTATATAGGTCTTCTTCCATCCTTGATATATTTTATAAAGTCTTGAGCATTTCTGCTTACAATGTTGTTTTTCTTTTCCCATTTTTATGTAATAAGCCCCATACAAATATTTTCCCCATAGCCACAGTGTCCCCTTTTCACTTTGTTCAAGGAGAAATTGACAATTACTGAGTGATGAGCTCTTAATAAGGTCTCTGCAAAATTTAAATAAACTCTACAGTGCCTATGTTTTAGTCACTTGCTCCGTTAATAAGGATGGAAATGAAACATGCTGAGAAAAACTTTCTCCTTTATAAAGAAGCTAGCACCAAAGGCAAGACTATTCATATTTCTGATTCTTGGTTGCAGAAGTTGCCTTTGGTAATGATAATGATGGCTCCTCAGACACATGTAATATTCAAGTGAGACAGAGATAAAAGAGTATGTCCTGTGTCAAACAGCAACATGGTGACAGCACCTAAGCTCTGCATACTGTTTACCCTGTTCCCTCTAAGCAGTGGTTCTCAACCTTCCTAATGCTGCGACCCTTTAATACAGTTCCTCATGTTGTGGTGACCCCCAATTTCATTGTTACAAATTGAACATAATTAAAGCATAGTGATTAATCACAAAAACAATATGTAATTATATATGTGTTTTCCAATGGTCTTAGGCGAACCCTGTGAAAGGGTCGTTCAACCCCCAAAGGGGTCGCGACCTACAGGTTGAGAACCGCTGCTAAAGTCTTTACTCACTTCCAGGTGGCAGTAAATCTAGCCCAGATTTCTCCAGATCTTTCCTCCATCACTTACTTTGAGACCATTTGCAATTTTCCCCTTAGCTTCTGTTTCCTCATTTGTGAAATTGGGATGATGAGCATGTCCTCTTTGGGCATTGTGAGAATGAAAATGCGTCTTCCCATGTGTGTGTAATTGAGGCTGGTATCATTATTGTACATTTGAAGATTACCTAACAATTTAGAAAACCCCAGACACAAGGGTCTCAGATGTTTTTCTTTTTTAGTGGATGAGTACTTGCTGAATTCATCAAGCAAGTTCCTTAACATTTAACTTCCTTTATTATCATGGAGGATTTTAAAGGTATGGGGCTTGTCACTACTGTTGCTTTGGTTATCCCTAAAGTTGTATGTTTGTGTGTGTGAGATTCAGTTGTCACCTCTGATCCCCAGCTGAAGGGAGGACTAAGGACTGTGGGGCCTTAATCTTCCATGCAGCCACACTCTCAAAGCTGTTGACCCAGCTTCTCACCTGGGCTTCCTTCCTGTGAGTCGTAGATAGAAGTCGTAGATGATGGCAGGGGCCCAGTGGCTGACGGCATTCCAGTACTGGGTTATGATGGTGTTGGTTGTAAGGTCAGCATATGGCCTCCTAAAAGCTCTCTCAAATGGAATTTTTTCAAAGGTTGCCAAGACTTGGAATCCTGGGTGGGGTGACGGGGAGCAGGGGATGAAATAAGGAGTAAGTCTGGAGCACATAAACCCATTGTGGTGGATGGCATTTGCAATGGGTCAAAACAATAAAGAATACGTATTTGCTTTGTAGAGTCAAGACTCAATTTCTGAGAACATTACTAAGATTTTTATCCTGGCAAGTAATCACCTGCAAATTTTAAGCAGTGAATAGGTTAAGAATTGGATCCTTTTCTTGAAATCTTTACTCTAAAACAACTTCTACAAGAAATAGTTTTAATCAATATAGTGAATGTTATTCAGAAAAACTTAAATCCATCATTCAATTTCAGGGTTATTTAGCCTGTTCTAAAAGTCCCAAGACAGAGTCTAAGGGCCATATTTCCTTGTTTGGATCACTACTTTAGGAACCACCAGGATAGTTTCGTAACATTTTACTTAAACCTTATAAAGGGCTACTTAAACCTTAAACCTCAGGGCTTCAGGGAAAGAGAGACGGTAAAGGCAGGACTCCTCTGTGCTGGTTCACTTTAAAGACCACAGTCTTTTACTTCTTTGGGATTTCTACTTCTCTGGGAATACATCAGACTCAATTATCTACTCTTATCTCCAGAGGTTTTTTTTCATAATATTTTTTTCTTTATATATTTTTACTTAGAAAAAGCCACGTTAAAATTTTTAATGTACATTTGCAAAGTCAGTAATAATTTTCAATATTCATTTGTATTCCATTTTCATTTTCTCTATGTAGAATTTTCAAATATGCATAAATGCATTATTCAGTTATGATGAAGACAGCAGTTATTATGGTAATAAGATTATTGCTTTAAAAGATACTTGGAAATCTACATGAAAAAATATATACCCTATACAGAAAAGATTCTCAAGAAACATCTGGACTGTTTTCCTCCCAGAGGAATTTATATTTACTTTTAAGAATCACTAGTGGAGTGGTTACTACACATTCAAGGGAGGCAAGAGACCTGTCTTCAATCTCAGGCACCAGCTCCCCATATGAATTTGAATAAATCATTTAGTCTCGGTCCCATATGTAAAATAAAGCAAACACCCCAGATTATTTTTAAGATCACTTTCAACTATGAGATTCTATAATTCCATAAAACAGATAATAAGAATGATTGGCATGGAAGAAGACTATTTTGAATCTCAGCAATAGAATTTACATGTAACATCTTTTTATTTAAGAGCTTAAAATATCTTGTTTGTGGCTACTAATGCCTTTTTTTATGAATGATATTTTAATTCTGTTATTGTGGTAGAGGAGATATATTTTTTATATTTTTATTTCCATATGTTTTCAGAATTATTTAGATAATCTAAATAACTGGATATATGCTCTAAAGAACTTTACTGCTAGAGAATTTCACTTAATTTTCATTGAAGTGATAACTTTACAGATAGCACATTAAGTGTTCTGAATTAGAAATCAGATTCTAAAATATTAAGTACATTTGATTTTTTTTTCTACATCTAGTACTTAAAAATAGCTAGGTGATCTAAAGTTTCAGATTTTGACAAGAAAATCAACTCCTAAATTGACAAAGGAGTTCAAGATTGGTTAGCTAATGTTCTGTTCTATGCAGGATTCATCAATTCAACCAGACACCTTCAAGGTTCCTCTTTTTTAAAGGAAATATTTTTATTGATTTTGAGAGAGAGAGGAAGGGAGAGGGAAAGAGAGAAAAACATTAATGTGAGGGCAAAACATCAATCGGCTACCTTCTGCAACTCGGTCATGCCCCCTTGCCTGGGAATCAAACCAGCAACCTTTTGGTGCACAGGAGTGCACCCAACAACTGAGCCACACCAGCCAGGGCTCAAGTTGACTCTTATGGCTAACTGCATAATTAGTGAAGAGTATCCCTGACTCAATAACAGTTTATATTGTTGGACTTTTCTAAATCTACTTTGTCGTTTCACATTGTCAGGGATGTAGCAATGTAGCGAACAGTGGCCGCAGCAGGAACAGTGGCCCCCACAGGAGCAGTGTTTGATCACTGACATTGCTTATTGCTGACTTCTACTTGGTTTTACTTATTTTTAAAAATCTCTATAACTAACGGACTGCTTATTTCTTATAGTCATGCAGATGTTCCCACTGACCCTTCTTTGGTATATTATACTTAACTCTTACACATACACAGTTGTAATTATTTTAGCTCTTGTTTTTTTTTTGTGTGTGTTTTTCCCCATTAGATTCTAAGCTTCGTGACTCAATTGGTCTAATTTTTCCCCTGTGGCAGACATAGTAGTGATGTAGTTACATTGCTATGGGCACTTACCCATTTTGCCCCAGTAACAGGGATTCAAGTTACCAGAAGTACAGTGGTAGATTAACGTTGACTTAGGTCTGGAAAATAGAAGAAAATTTAGGTAAATAAAACAAAATGGAGAAATCATCAAAGAAAGATAAGGGAAAATAATATTTTTAAAAGGATGTTTCAGTAATTCTCATGAGTAAGGTAACCTAGGCAATCTTCCTTCTTTTGGTTAAGCAAAATGGAAGAAGTGGAGGAAAAGTGTGTGTGTGTGAGTGTGTGTGTGTGTGTTTAAGAGATTGGAAATAGGTTGACATACTGTGTGTGTGTGTGTGTGTGTGTGTGTGTAAGAGATTGGAAATAGGTTGACATATTTGTGGAGCAAATTGAGGTGTCATGATGAGGAGTTAGAAGAGACTAGGCAGTTAAAGGCAGAAACCCTGAAGTTTAAAATGTATGGATATTGCTAGAGCAGAATTTTTCAGACCAACCAATGGAAAGTTAGCAGGGCACATATTAACCCCTAGACAAAGAAGCTTTGGTGGTAACCCATTTGGGGACCCCTCTCTGCTGCAGGGAGCTTTATTACTTTACTATCTCTAATAAACTTTGCTTTTGCTCATCTCTTTGTCCATGAACTCATTCTTCGATTTTGCAAGACAACAAACTTAGACCCCAACAGAAATTTTGGCATCAATAATGATGAGAATGATCATATTTCTAAATTATGGACATGTTTATTGGGCAAGACTACAGGCTAGGTTTTTTCCTAAATCCAACTAAGTCCTGCTGGTTTGGAAAGTCTGACTCAAAAAAACATTTAATTCTGTTTATCATTTACTAACAGAGCCAAATATACAAACAACCATTTCTTTTTCTTTGTTTCAGTAAATAACCCATACGTGGTGGTCTGAACTTTAGCATTTATCAGGAACTGAGCAGGTCAGTGAAACATAAAATATGGTCTCATTTTACCCCCTTTTTTCTCCTTTGTCTTTAAAACAGGAAGCTCTATTTTAGGTTACTATCAGTGGTGATGCCACCAATTTTGCCATTAAGAACAGTGCTAAATTTATTTTATTTATTTTTTATTTTTTACACATGTCAGAAAAGCTTTTTTGTTATCAAGAATTATATGATTTGCCTAACCGGTGTAGTTCAGTGGCTGAGCTTTGACCCATGAACCAAGAGGTCACTGGTTCGATTCCAATTCAATTCCCAGTCAGGGCACATGCCGGGGTTGCAGGCTCGATCCCTAGTAGGGGCCTTGCAGGAGGCGGCCGATCAATGCTTCTCTCTCATCCATGTTTCTATCTCTCTATCCCTCTCCCTTCCACTCTCTCTACAAAGTCAATAAAAACATATTTTAAAAAAAGAATTATATGGTTTAATAATTTAAAGGGTGTTACTTTATGATCAATGAAGTATTAAATAGTACTTATAAAACAACTCAATGCATATATTTGGAACTATGTAAAATATTGAAACATATACCCTATCACAATTAGGGTCTTCTACAGTACAATGAATATATTTTGAAAATAGGCCTAATATATTCACCCTCCTTATCATTAAATATTTGAAAGAAAGCCAGATTAGTTAGCATCCTCACCTGTGAACTGCTGTGTACCATCCCACAGCCAAGGTGAGATTGACGACTGTATCAACAGGAATCACATCTGCCACAGCCATTGGAGTAGCTCTCAGGGCCCGGAGAAACCCTTTCCCTGTCTGCACGGGAAGAACATAAAATATTGAGCCAGGTCTCAAGTAACAGCTGGAGATAATACTGATGCTGTTAGTAATAACAGCTACCATTGACCCACTGCTTACGAGGCTACTATACCAAGGCTGATGTCACAGCCTGTCCAGCCTTCCAGATACATTCATCTCAAATGCCAACACTTTTATGAAACACTAGTGAGTGGTCCTAGGTTCCTTTAGGGAGTGAAAGTCCTCAAATTTGTGAGAGGTAATATATTTAGTTAATTAACAAACACCAAGAATAGTTTATCACATCTTAAAAATTAATTCATAAGCATTAAGTTTTCCCCAATTTCCCACTTAGTTTACCATTTCCTAATGATGCTTTCTGCTAGTGCTTACTAATTTACAAGCAAGAGCAGACACTAAAAGTTTAAGAAATATTTATTTTTAAAAATTAGTAAAAATCTACCATTTAACAACTTTGTTATTACTTGGGAAACTTTTCCTTTGGTATCTTAGTTCACCTCACAGATCACTGATGTTATATAGATGTAAGAATTGGAAATTATTCATGTTAATAAGTCAGTTAATAACTAAAAAGTTGTGTTTATTTTATGAATTAATTATTTATACCCTACATATTTCCAACATTGATTTTCAGTGGTTGTTAGCACTTTCTTATGTTCCTAATTTGTTGTAACTGATTCCCCTTCCTTTGGACATAAGAAATCAGTTTGGAAAATTTTAGATAACTGAGTAAATGTGCAGTTTTGTAAACAATGTAACAAGACACACTCTAGGGTCATGTGAAAATAATTAATTATATTCTAAGTTACCAAATGTCCACCCATAACTAAGCCTTAAAGAAGAGGAAGGCAGGTAGAGAACAAAAAGAGAGGAGCTGCTAGAGCAAAAAAGAAATCAGAAGGTTCATTCTCACTGTCTTTGACAAGTGGTCATAATTCACTGTCTTATATTTGAATTTTAGTTCCTGTTGGACCTCACTCTGAGAACACAGGCAGTGTCTGAGGTATGAGGTTTGTAAACTCAGAGAATTGAATTGCGGTTCATTGTCCTAAAGAGTGGAGTTGTGGTTCTGGTCCTAAAATGCTTCAATATGAACTGTGACCCCGCCCCGCCCCCCTCCCGCCCAGCTCAGGCTGAACCAGTCTTCACGGCAGGGGACACATACACAGGGCTGTTGGCCCAGAGAAACCAGTAACGTTTCTCCTGGTCTGTGAGAGGTTTGCTGAAAAGTGTTTCCTCTATCCGTCCATTTTTAATTTGAAATCTTTGCCCGAGTTGGTGGTTCTTTCTTGTATCTATTAAGAACTGGTTACTGATGTATTTTATGCATTTATATAATTTATATCCACACATAGAGAAACTCTTGTATGTGTTTTATAATCAAGAATTTAATAATCTTTGTGAATATGATTTTTATTGCATTCCCAGTTCGCTGCATTAATTCAAACTATTAATGATCAGCGAAAAGGAGGAAACACCCCCATCTTGTGGTAATGAGAGAAAACTACAGGCATGGTCCTCAATGCTCAAAGGCTTTACAAAAAGAAAACTCCTAAATCAGTGGTTCCCAAACTTATTTGGCCTACCGCCCCCTTTCCAGAAAAAATATTACTCAGCGCCCCCTGGAAATTAATTTTTTTAAA